TGTTACTTTGCAACGAGTAGGAACAGAGGAAATGAGACTGCAGAGACAGTCTTGTCCTCATGATGGGGTTTGAGGCAAAGAAAGGGTGAGTATTTCTCAAGAGCCTCATGTGTGCAGGTGCTCTTCTAATCATCACCCCCGAAGTCCTCACAGTTCCCCTAGGAACCAGGTTTGGCAGTCTCTATTTCAGGAGTTACAAGGATGCTCAGGGAAGGGTGTGGTCTCTGGACCAGCAGCGTGAGCATCCCTCACCTGTTCAGGACCATCCCAGCTACCAGCCACCTCCTCTGGGAGACAGCAGCTGGATTTTAATAGGAGGTCATTCTTAACCTAGGTCTTCTAACCTACAGAGATTGAAGCCTGGCTTTACCCCTTAGCTGCGTGATTCAGACAAGTTACTTAATCTCTCTCTGCTTCAATTTATAGAACAGAAATAAAAATAATTCTCATCTCATGAAAGATGTTATTAAGATTAAATGTATCAACTACTTAGAGCAGTGCCAAGCCCCACAGAAAGACCTAAATAAATGTATTTTTAAAAAATAAACTCAAAGGAACCTAAAAATCTTAGAAATTTTGTTTTTAAAAGAGAAATTTATGTTTTTACAGTAAGGAAATACATCCAAGACAAAATGTAATCACGGGACTGAGTTGAACCTGCAGGGCCTCGCAAAGGTGGTGGATTTGCTGAGAGGTGGATCAGGGAGGCAGGAAGAAGGGCGCCTCAGGTGGGGAACGGAGCCTGAAGCCACTGAAGCTCTGGGAAGTTCCACAGCTGCCCAGGGGCCCCACAGCAACTGCAACAGAACCCAGTCCAACCCAGGAAAGCCTGTTGTACCCTCAGGAAGGCTCCTGATTCGGCTCCATCTCAGACTTAAGCAGAGGTTGGGTTATAAATAGCCTCTCATACTGGTACCTGAAATCCTTGCAAGGCCCTCTCACTGTCTGTGTGGGCTCTGTTGATTCTCTGATCTAGCTTAGGAATTTGAATGGTGCTGAAAACATTACTCCTGCGCCCCACCCTAAAGGCGAGGAGGGATCGCCTTTGCCCTGCTAGAAGTTTGTACCCCAGGGAAAAAGAGTGAGATGGAGGCTGTGATTTCTGAGAGGGACCCCAAGAAGCCCTTGGGTCTGAGAACGTGGACTTATTTGAAGAAGCTTTGGAAGGATTGCGCTAGAGATGAAGGAGAAATGTTCACACACGTGTCTGGCAGGTGGTAGTAGGTGTTCATTAATAGGAAAGGGAGGAAGGGGTTAGGAGGGAAGGAGACAGGGAAAAGCTGGGAGGGGAGGGAGGGTGAGGATAAGGATAGAAAGATTCAAAACCACAGGAGTCAGCCGTGGCCTGACCAGGGAAGAGACCTTGCATCTAGCACCCTGTCATGGACACCTCCTACCCTGTTAGGTTGCATAAACCTGAGGGATGGAAGCCAAGTTGCAGTGGGGTCACCCACAGGGAAAAGGGGGCCTGGGGCTAGTTTATCCCAGGCTGCCTGGAAAGGTGAATCCTGTCCTCCAGCATGGAGGTTTAGGCATTCAGATCTCTCAGGCTTTTCCTGGTTTTTTTTACTTTTATATTGAAGGTAGTAAAGTACAACAGAACAAAGTCAATCGAGATAATGCAGTGAAAGTGGTACAGAACTTCAGAGCAGGATACCGGGATAACAGTAATAGGTACCATAGTATATCTCGTTATCATCACAATAGTTTATTCAATCAGATATAGCAAAATCAAACCAAAAACAGAACATTACAAAACTTATCACAACAGAATATTGAACAGAGCAAAACAATCAGAACAAAGTGAAACAGTGAGAACAATATTTGCCTTCACAGAGAAGACAGAAGGAAATCTCCCATATTTGCTATATTTCATAGGGTCATCCTTCCAAGAGATGCTCAGACCTCTGGCTCCCAGATGCTACGGGGGGGGGGGGGTAAGGGTGGGTGGGGAATGGGATGTTTGATTCTCAGCCCGCCCCCAGTATCCCAGACTTTTTCATTCGGCCTCCAGCAGGCAGTCTGTGTAGTGATAAAGTGTCAGGCAGGCACCCAGGCTGGCGTCCCCCTACTCCCCTTCCTGGCCCCTACTCCATGCACAGGGTCCCAGTAAGAGGGGTCCAGAAGGCAGGGGCACAGCCCACTGAGCTCCACAGCCACTGGCCCCATCCTGCTGTGATTAAACCCTGAGATTTACTTCCTTCAGTGTTGGAAGAGACGGGGCAGAGGGTGGGGTAGAACTACAGGATGGAACCAGGCACCAGGCGTGTCCAGGGAGGAGGTGTTGGCCTGGGGAGCAGCCCTGTTGTTCGCCATCCTTGACTGCTGGGACTCACTAACAGGAGGTGACTAACCAGGTATGAGATGATGGCAGAATCTGGAGCTCAAGAGGAGCCCAGATGAGGGACTCAGGGTGCAGGCACAAGTGCCAGCATTTGGAAGAGAGAAGATGCCCCCTTTTGGATGCAAAGCACACTTTCTCTGCAATCTAGTCATTCACTCAACAGGTATCAAGAGTGTTTTCTGGGTGCTCTAACTCAGTCCTCAGGAACCTCAGCTGGACGTCCAGGGGCTGTGTTTTGCTCAAGGCAGTGGCTCTTGCTCGAAGAGCATCTGTTGAATGAATAAAGGGTAGATGCATGTTCACCAGCATCAGACAGATGCTGAAAACACAACATGGAGAAAAGCCACATCTCAGCTCCTAGGTGACTCTATAGACCCCCACCCAGGGCCTCATCCCGTCTTCACCCCCATTTGAATGCTACAGTGGTTCTAGGCTTGAAGCGGATGGGGCTATGTTCTTTCAGGGTCTGATGACCTTGTTGGCTGAAGGCCTGCACCCCATGCATCCCAGGAGGCATGGTCACCGTGTTCTAGGAACCAGACTGTTTTACTTGCCTGACACACGGGGATGAACAGGCTTCCATTTCTCTTTCAACACATGATACAGTTTGTCAGGTTAAATGCTGCTGGGCCCATTTCTTCCCTTCAGCAATAATCATAATAAAAACAGCCAGGTGTCTGTTTTCCTTTGCTTTTTCTAGTGCTGATGATGGAACCCAGGGCCTTGCACAAGCCAAGCATGTGCATCACCACTGAGCAACATCCTAATGTCTAAGCAGTGTTTCGTAGACACACACTATGTGCAGGAATATATACTATTTCATTGAATTCTTTCAGCAGCCATAAGGGGAAATAGAATTATTGTCTCTTTTTACACACAAGGAAACTGAGCTCTTTCTTGCATGATTTCATTGCATCCTCACAGTAGTCCATGTGGTGTAATTGCCTAGCTTTACAGATAAAAAAAAAAAAGAACTCAGGGAGGGTAAGTAACATGTTCAAGGTCACACAGAGCTAGAAAATAAAGAGGTGGGGTTCAAAGCCAGGTAGTTGGACTGCAGGGCCCACTTTATTTATCCCACTCTGCCTCTCCTCAGCTTCCTGGTTTCATTGGAGAAGTGAATACAGAGGAAGAGTGGGCATTTTTTTTCTCTGGGACATTGTTGTCAAAGCCTGCCGGTCACCTGCAGCCAGCTATAAGCATTTGGCTTTTCAGACTGCTGGGTGTTGCCCTGGGCCGCCTTCTGGGTGAAGATCCTAATCTCCTGCAGCAAAGCAGGCCATCCAGTGCCCAGCTTGCATGTGGCTACAAGTCTCAGACTGTCTCCTCTGGGGCATCCAATCTCAGCCTGCAAAATTCCCTGGAGGAGAGGCTTCCTCCAGGCTCCTGGCCTGGGTAGGAAGGAGACACTCACGAGTCCGGGCCTGCCTCACTGGGGTTCCATGGCCAAACCAGGATGTTCCTGGCACAAGATGGGGAACAAGGGCCAGGGCCCTGGGCACAGAAAGACAAAGTTGGTGCAAAGACTTCTGGGACATGGAGACAGCACCCGGGCGCCAGGAGCACGTTACCTATCCTCTTTCATTCTGGACTGACGCCTTTCACCTGCAGTTTGAGGGGGAAGTATTAAGTAAGTCCAGGGTGGTGGAACCCACTCTGGAGGTCTAGGGCACAGGAGGCTATCTGCTGCGGCCCTAAAAGAGTGCTAATCACAGACCAAGCTCGGGGAGTGACATTCTGGTTCAGTGAGCTCACTGACTCAGCACATGGTAAGCTAGGGAACAGGCACACCATTATCCTCACTGTCTCCACCAGCCCCGTCCACATCTCCTCCTCCTGCTGCTCCTCCTCTCTATTCTGCCCCCATTGTCAGCCCCATGACCATCCTCATCTTCACCCCCCCCCAGCATCTTCATCTCCATCTCTACCACCCAGCACCTTTAGCTCATTTTCACTCCCTCCTCACTGTCATCATCGTCTCCACGAGTGTCACAGTGGCAACCTTCTGGTCACTCACACAGCTTCTCAGACCAAAACCCCATCCTACAGATGTGGAAACAGAGAGAGATCACGATCCATCTACTCCCTAGGCAGATGGTGAGGAATTTGGATTCTGACCTGCCAGAGTCCCCAGTTTGATTCCTGGCTCTGCCATGTTCAAGCTGTGCGTCTTCAGGGCCCACGTGCTGTGAACTCCAGAGGCCTGTAAAACAGCGATGATCTCATTCCTGCCTAGGAGGGCTGTGGGAAGGGGTGCAGGACCTAAGCAAGTAAAACCCTGGCTCACGGCCTGGCTTGAGTCGTAAAAGCAAAGCAAACACAATAAAAATACTCTGGCAAAGGAAGCAGCAGTTAAGAGAATTGCTTGGGACATGAAGCAAGGCTTTCCCAGCGGCCCCAGATTTGAAGAAGCAGGTGTTTCCAGGTCAGAGAAGGAACACTACAGTGGAGCGGCTTGCAGGCAGCGACCCTTAAGGACCTGCGTTCCTCTCACGAGCCCAGGTGTGGTGGCAAAGAGGAGAGCTTTGGCATGGAGCAGAGCTAGAAGCCAGGCTGAAGCTGAGAGCCTTCAGGGACCAGGTCCTTTCTCAGGCCGGTCTCTTTCCACTCCTGCCCCAAAGCAGCCAGCACACCCACCCACCCCAGCCCACCTCCCTGCCACACACAGCAACATTTCCTTTAGGACCCTTCTCCCTCTTTGATGATTTGTTTCTGAACAGAAATAAAGGTGGACCCGTGGTTGATCCTATGCCAGACAACCCTGGGTGTCTTCCCTCCAGCCTCTAAGGCTGTGTATGTGTGCAACACAACTCCAGGCGTGCCCTTCACAGACACCACATTGTGAACTACGCCTTCTTGAGTTGTGCAGTGCACAGCGGCACATGCAGCTGTATAAGACATTCTGCCAGTCTCTTTCTTCCCAGGGAGGGCACAGAATGATCTCAGGTTCAAGACAGAGGAAGGTTGGATGGCATTGGGATGCCAATCAAGATTCAAAGGACTGGCTGGGTGTGGTGGCACCTGCCTGTAATCCTAGCACTTGGGAGGCTGAGGAAAGAGGATTGACATGATTTCAAGGTCAGTTTGAGCTACACAGAGGGTTCAAGGACAGTCTGAACTACATAGCAAGCCCTGCCTTAAAACAAATGAACAAAAATATCCAAAGAGCCAAGGTTTGTTTGTTGCTGTCCTGAGAAGGTTGTTTTTGAGCATGATGGTGACTGGTGATTATTATTCCACATAGATTTAATTATTCCCCGCCATTCTTGCTGTGTGACTTGAGGCAAATCACTTGGCCTCTCTGTACCTCATGCTTGTCTCAAACAAATGGGAAGATAGTAATACATGATAACACTAGCTCTCCCTGTCTGACAAGGTGGCCATGAGAAGGAAATGAGATTGCCTGGGTCACTCAGCCTGCTGCATGTAAATGTTCACTACATGCTAAGGTTCAGTAAAATCACCAGCCAGGAAGGTTGGGCTGGTGTCACCTGCTGGAAGGCAGCTCCCTGAAATCCTTCCAGGACAATGGAGGATTGGGGCACAGTGCCAGATCAATTCAGTACTCCACTGGGCCTTGCTAACATCAGTTTGCCAGAGGCAAGTGCTGTTGGGCCTCTAAGACTGTGCACAGCCACTGTGCAGTCAGTACCAGGAAGGAGGAGGCCTCAGTGCTGCCCCCAGCCCCGGCTCTGCAAGCCTCACCTCACTCATGGGCTGGGCTTGGCCTACTGTCTCTTTTTGTGCAGCCAGTGAGCTAAGAATAGCTTTTACACAGTTAAAAAAAAAAAAAAAATAAGAGAAGCAAGGTAAGACGATGCATGCCTGTAATCCCAGTACGCTGGGGGGCTGACAGGAGGATCACAAGTTCAAGTCCAACCTGGACAATTTAGCCACTTAACATCTATGTCAAATTTTAAAATAAATGTTTTTAAAAGGCTGGGGATATAACCAAGTCCTTTAGTTCAATTTCTTGTACTACACCCCCAAAAAAGTTTTTTCATAATGTGTGCAGATTACATTCATCAAAATTCAGTATTCCCAAATATTGTTGATTGCTCGTGTATTACCTATGGCTACTTCTGCACTGAATACCCATCATGAGATCCTCCAATGTGAATGCACACAGAACCTTAAAATATGAATACTAGGACCTTAACTGGCCAAGTTTGATGACCCTGCTCTGGCCAGAGATTCCCATATCTGCAGCACATTCAAACAACCCAAGGAGCTTTGTCAAAGTTTGGTGCTCACATTACACCCACAACCAAGTAAATCTGAATGTCTGAGGCTAGGAGCCAATCAGCAGTGTTTTTAAAGATCTTCAGATGGCTGTGCCAGGCAGTGGAGATCAAGATAATCCTGGTGTCCCTTCTATGTGTGCCCTGGCAGAGCTGAGCTGCCTGCCCCTTCCCAAGGTCACAAAAATGGCCCAGTGTTTAAGGCACCATGCCTGCCCCCACGCCTATGGGCAGGGTCACAAGTTTATATCCCTCAAGCCTTGTTTTGTGTTCTGTGTAGTAATTTTTGTTGAAAGAGTGGGTGCTGAGGATTGAACCCAGGTCCTCATCTATGCTAAGCATGTGCTTTACCACTGAGCTATACCCCAGGCACTAGTAACTTTTGTTTTCTTTTTTGTTTTGTTTTGCTTTGCTTTGCTCTGCTCTGCTCTGCTTTTGTAGTCCTGGAGATTGAATTTAGGATATTACACCTGCTAAGCAAGTGCTTTATCACTGAACTAATCGCTACCCCCTTTTGCTTTAAAGATTATTTTGAAACAGGGTCTCACTAACCAGGCTAGCCTTGAACTTGTGACCTTCTTGTCTTATCCTCCCAAACAGTTAGAATTATAAGCATGTATGACCGTGTCCAACTCCTAGTAATATATAAACGAGAAAATTTCATTTTAATGTCTGGGTTTCAGATTCTCTCAAATCATTGCAAGATCTAGCTCTCCTGAACCTGTGAATCCAATTGGTAATAACTGACTGGATCTAACATGGCTTTGTGAGATCACCTACCTGGCCCCCAAGAACATTTGAGTTTGATGCCTCTGTCTGAATTGTAAGGAACTCTAGGCCAACACATCTCAAACTGTGATATGCAGAATCACCTGGAATCTGGTTAAGCAGATACTGGCTGGAAAGTAGCTCAGTGATAGAGCACTCATCTAGCACACATGAGACCCTGGATTCTGTCCCCAGCACCAAAAAGGGGTAAACAGTGAAGGCACAGATTCTGACCCAGTAGGTTCAGCGGGATCTGAATTTTGCAAGTCTAACAAACTGCTGCTTCCAATCTCAGTAAGCCATAAGACAGGAGTTCTTGAATTTTATTTAGCATGGCCTCAAATTTCTGGAAGATGGTTACGACACAGATTGCTTGTTATAACCCAGTTTCTGATTCAGGTGGGCAGAGGTGGGACCTGAGGATATGCTTTCCTAACAAGTTCCTGGGGGCTGCTACTGAGGCTGGTCAGGAGACCAGAATTTGGGAACCTTGCTCTCAGCTATGCCCTGGGCGCCCAGTGGATTTTCATTCACAATGAGGACAGATGCCTTGACAGCTAGTTCTCAGTGAGTAAATCAGGCTTTGGACAGCTTCTTTAGCCAAACTCTCTTTAACCAGACTGGAGCAGTTTCCTCAAGTTCAAATGAATAATTTAAAGACATCACTGGAGCAGGGAGAGGGCAGAACTTTGTGTCTGTTTATTGGAAACTTCCCCATACCAAGGGATCCGATCTGTGCGGCTGCTAGCAAGGGTCCTTCCCAAGCAGGTCTTGCCTTAGACACTGTAGGGAGTCCATGAAAATGGATTTGAGCCTCGCATATGGAGCAGGTTGGGGTGGACCCAGATCCCCAGTTCAAAGCCTGAAGCCACAAGTCGGGAGGAGACAGGCCACACCCCACAGATAGGTATGACTGCTACAGTTTCAGGGACACACTGGGCTCAGAGCCATCGACCACAACTGCCCTGAACAAGAATGACCACCCAGGCTAGGACCGGTTCCTCGGAGTTCTTGAACTTGAGAGGGCTGGCAGCCAGATCTGGACGGTGAGCGTTCGGCCGTCAGAGATTATGAATCGTTTCACTCTCTTCCTGAACCCTTAGAAGCAGGGTCTGGTTGCCTGGGCTCCTTATCTCTCTGGAAGCCAGAAGTCTTCTGAGCCAGAAGCTTGTGCTGGGCAAGGGCTTAAAGTCTCACATAGTAGGCAGTCCGTGGGGCAGGCAGGTGCGTGGGACACTCGTGCTGCTTATGTGTGCTCTGCCTGTCAGCTCACAGCTGGGTGACCTGGGTGGCCATGGATGCCAGGGACTCCTAGCAGGATTGACTCAAGGAATAAGTGGGATGCTTACAGCTCGTGCCATGACAGTCACGGGTTCATGCTAGGTGCTCAATGAATGGCGGCTACTATTTTCAACCTCATGATAGACGTGAATTACTAGTTACTTGTGTAAACTGCTCCAACACAGCCTACCTCCTCCTGCCATTGCAGCCTCCACACCTGAGTGTGCAGGTGTCGGAAAGCACCTGTCTGGCAGCAACTATATTCATTCTGATAGTCAACCCATGTATAACTGCCTACTGCATGCTGGCTGTCATTCTGGGTCAGTATTGTCCCTTATATGTACAACACAAGCCACAAATCAATTTAAACCACGTATACAATTTTAAATATTTCAACAAGCAGTAGAGCACTGGCCTAGCACGAACAAGGCCCTGGGTTCAATCCCTAATACAATGGTTTATTTGATGAAATAAACAATAAATAAATAAATAAATAAATAAAAATGTTTCAAAAGCAGAATTTTTAAAAAAGAATTAAAAGGGTGTGGTGGCTCACGGCTGTAATCCCAACATTCAGGAGGCTGAGGCAGGAGGATTGTTGCAAGTTCGAGACCAGCCTTGGCTACAAAGTGAGCTCAAGCCTTAACTGCATAGTGAGACCCTGTCTAAAAAAAAAAAAAAAAGAATTCAAAGAAGCAGAATTAACATTGATGATTTATTTTATTGAAACTACAGATCCAAAATATGACTGCTTTAGTATGTATTCCATATTAAAACTTACTAATGATATTTTTGCATTCCACTTTTTTTTTTTGAGGCAAGTTCTCACTATGTAGTGAAGCTGGCCTTGAACTCACTTATATAGTCTAGGCTGGCCTCGAACTCATGGTGATCATCCTGTCTCGGCCTCCCAAGTGTTGGGATTATAGGCGTGTGCCAGCATGCCTGGATGTCAATTTATTTTAAACCAGAAATGTGGTAAAATGCTTATAACATACAAATGACTACTTTAACTCTTTTTTTCTTTTCCTTTTTTTTTAATTGAGGCTTGAATCAGGATCTTTGCACTAAGCTAAATCTCCAAACTTTATTATTATTATTATTATTAATGTTGAGACAGACTCTCGCTAAACTGCCCAGACTGGACTCAACCTTTGATCCTCCTGCCTTAGCCTCCCAGAGTGCTGGAATTACAGGCCCACAACACCACACCCGGCTCACTTAACCATTTTAAAATCTACAGTTCAGTAAAGTTAAGTACATTCACACTGCTGTACATCTATCTCCAGAACATTTTATAAAGTGTTAATGAGATTTTTCATGCCTTTCCTTTCATGTTACTTCTTTGAAATCTAGATTTTGCCTTAGACTTACAGCATAGTTCAGTTCGACGAGGAACATTGCCAGCACCTGACAACAGCTGTAGGTGCTTTGTGGCTACTGTGAGGCGCAGCAAGCTCTGCTGCTGGGGTGGAGCAGGGAGCAGTGGGGCTCAGTCCATCGGTGTCAGAGTCAGGCTTGGGCAGGGGAATATGGGCAGGAAGCAAGCTGATGGATCTGATGGTCTCAGGTAGCACTAGACCCTGCAGTGAGGAAAAGCAGAGGCTCAGCCAGGCTGGCCAGAACTCTGGGGAGGCCTCTCTGTGGTGTAGTCTTTGAGCCGAGTTTTCACACAGCAGCCAGCCTGAGGGAAATCTAGGATGATGATCTCTACTCTTGACTGTGCGATGGATATTTGGGGAGTCAACACATGTGGTGTAAAGAGAGAGAGAGAGAGATGTCAAACCCATCTCGACCCATGCACTCCATCACAGTGAGGGAGGCCCTGCACAGGGCTTCTTCTTTAAGAACTCCCTGGATTGTCCTGTACCACCGCCAGCACAGGGGGAAGCCACCTAAGGGACACCTTTCCATGCAGAGGCGAGAGCAGGCATAAAGGCCCTGAGGTGTAAAGAGGTATCTTGAGGAATGGAAGCAAAGAAGAGGGGATGACACTGTAAGCCTGGAGTGATCAGGGGCGCTCAGGAGCATGGCAGGAGCTTGGATTTTATTCTCTAACCGTGGACAGAAGGCATTGCTGGCCTCTTTACAGGAGAACTACAGGGTCTCTTGCCAGAAATTCTAGACCCTGACTTGTCTCTGCCTAAGTGGAAAGCATGCAAAATGGTGTGTGTTTGTGTGTGTGTGTGTGTGTATAATGTGTCATATACCTTGTTTTCCTTTTCTTTTTTCTGGGTGCTGGAGAATGAATCCAGGTCCTGTTGCCAGCTAGGCAGGTGCTCCACCACTGAGCTACATCTCCAGCCTTTTTTGTCTTGAGGCAGGATCTCTTCCTCAGCTTCCCAGGCTGACCTTGAACTTGTGATGGTTCTGCTTCAGCTTCCAAATTAGCTGGGAATACAGATGTGCCACCATACCTACTACCTTTAAATTGGTAGTACAGACTTCCAGGACAGAGGATTAAATATAGAACTGTTTCCATAGATGATTGTGGAATTGTTTGTCTAGAGAGAAAAAAACCAGATTCACCCCAAAGCCAAAATCATTCCCATGCAAGGGCAAGGGAAGGAGGCCTTCCCTTGACCTCATTGTCCTGCTCCTCCCGATCCTATATTCATTGGAGACCTCAGCCTCCCCTCTCCCACACCCCTCTTCTGCCCCCTCACCCTCAGTCCTACCTTCTCCCTTTTCTGCTTTTCTAATCTTCTCAGGCTGCTATAACAAAATTCCAGACTGGGACACTCAAGCCACAGATGGCCATCTTCACACAGTTCTGGACGCTGAAATCAAGGATGGAGGTGTCAGCTGGGCTGGTTTCCCCTGAGCCCTGCTCCCTGGCTCCTTCACACTGTGTCCATGAGAGGTCTTTGCTCTGTTTGTGTCCCTCTGTGTGCCCAAGTTTAGTGTTCTGACAAGACACCAGTGTGACTGGATGAAGATCCACACTACTTGCTTTATTTTTAGCTAAATCACCACCTTCTGTGCTTGTCTTCAAACACAGACACATTCTGAACTTCTGGGGGTTGGGGCTGTGGCACACAAAATTTTTCCTTTTTTATCAGTGTATGTTTGTGATGCATAATAAGTGCATTGATGATGGAGATTGCTGCATACACATTTCACCTCTTGATCCTTTTTACTCCCCCTTCCGCCCCTCCCATTTCAGTCTCCCCAGTCCTCTTCTCATCTCCATGAAATCTCTCTCTCTGTTTCTTATTATCTTTATTTTGCTCTTTGAATTATTTATTCTTTGGGCTTCTCATACAGAGAAACCATGCAATATTTAAAAGTGTTAAACTCAATACCAAGTGCTCAGTGTGCAGTACCTCACTGGGATGGGAGGAATGCTGAGAGGGGAGAGTTATTGCTGGTCCCACCTACAGATGAGGCAGCCGAGGCCAGGAGGGATGATGTGATTTTGCCAAAATCACCCAGCCACAAAGAGATGACACGACACAAAGACTCCACTCAAATCTGTCTGACTCTAGAGCAAAACATTTTTAATAATAGTATCATTTAGCCAGGTATAGTGACACATGCACATAATCCCAGCACTCTGGGAGACTCGGATTACAAATTAGAGATTTAGCAAGACCTTATCTCAAAATAAAGAGGGCTGGGGATGTATCTCAGTGCAAGGCTCTGAGTTCAATCACCACCATTTCAAATAATAGTAATAGTAATAGTAATAATAACATCATGTGTGCTTCCCAATGGGATGCTGGGAGACCAAGGCCCTCATCTATGAGCAGCTTGGCCTGCTTTTCTGACTCTCTTCCAGGATGTTACATTTTATTCCCAGTGGATAGCTGCCATTTTCTCTATCTCTCTCTCTCTCTCTCTCTCTCTCTTTCTCTCTCTCTCTCTGTGTGTGTGTGTCTCTCTGCAAACACACACACGCACACAAACATACACATGTGTCTTCCAAGGTATATCTGATACATCCTCTCCCAGCTGGCTGTAGCCCAGGGAACAGAGGGAGGCAGGGAGCAAATCCAGCCTACCACATCCTTCCTGCTGGCTGTTAACACACATCACCTACTCTGGGCAAATGATCACCTGTATTGCTAGGTAAGGGCAGAGCCATGGGCTTTGGTGCTCTTCACTGGCACCCCCAAGCCATCTGTCCTTTGGGAAGTGATGTCACGGCTTCTGGTGCTGGGCCTGATGGGCAAGGTGTCTCCCCATGTTACTGGGCTTGTACAATAAAAGCCTGGTACAGTTGACAATTTGAGCAATAAGGAAAGCAAACACAGAGTTGTGCCTCTGTCAACAAAATAGTGAAGAACGGAGCCACCCAGAGAATATTAGTGTCTGTGTATTCCTCCAAAATTCACCTTTTTTTTTTTTTTTTTTTTTTTTTGCCTCTTGGATTATTTTGTTTTTGAGATCATAGTGAGATCCAAGGCCAGCTACACAGTCCAGGCTGGCCTTGATCTCACTATGTAGTTTTCCATCAGCCTTCCTCAGCCTCTCTAGCGCTGGGATTATAAGCATACACTGCCCATGTGTGGCTGAAATCCATCTTCAGCTCACCCTGCCCCCAAGAGCTGAGGAAAAACCCTCCTCAAAAGTTGTAGAAGGAAGTATCAGTTTGCTAGATATTCTAGGCAGGTTTTAAAGCCGATGAAACACCTATTCTTTAAGGTTTGTTTCTGAATTTTTTTAAAAGGCTATAAAATAACCCAGAAAATTTGGAAAACAGGCACAAATATTGGAACATAAACTAAAAATTTGCGTTCAATCTTAACCCCTTTTGCAAACCTCTGTTCTGCCAAATAATAGGACCTTTTGTAGGGGCTATGCTGAGACTCAAACTCAGGGCCTGTGCACTAGCTGGAGAAGTGCAGTGAGCTACTACAGCCCCAGCTAGAAATTGAACCTCAAGTACCCCAGTATCTCCTGGCTCCTTTTCCCCAGCTATATCTTAATTCTAGGAGTTTAACATAAAAACAAATTTTAGGGCACAAGTGACAGCACATACCTATAGCCCCATCTACTCAGTAGGCTGAAGCAAAAGAATCCCAAGTTCAAAGCCAACGTGAGACCCTGTTCAAAATAATGTAAAAAATTAAAAGGGTTTGTGATGTAGCTCAGTGTTCCCTGCATTCAATCCTGAGTACCACCAAAAGAAAAAAAAAAAGACAAACAGGTGATAAAAAGATCTATATTTTCTGCTTCCCTAGAATAATTTTCCCTAATAATCAGTTTTCCCATACTCAATGATCCTTTCAGTCTCCTTACAAGATTGGTTCCAGTTCCAAAGTCTAATGACATAGTATTTGCATACAATCTGCCCACAACCTCCTATATATTTTATGTCACTTCTAGTTTACAAGACATGATACAATATAAACACAATGCAGGTAGTATTGTTCTAGTGTATTATTTAAGGAATCATGACAAGAAAAAATTTTATACATCTTCAGTACAGATGCGGTTTTGTTTGTTTGTTTGTTTTTTGGTACTGGGGATCAAACTCACAATCTTGTGCTTGCCAGGCAGGCTTTTAGGTCACTGAACTAAATCCCTGGCCAGATGCAATTTAAAAAAAAAAAATTTCTATCCAAGATTGGTTGAGCCCACAGATGTGGGCCCTGCACATACAGAGAGACAACTGTACCCACAATATCACCTTTTCCAAGGAGCATTCTACCAAAAGCTTTTTTCTATGTTGCTATAAAAGTGACATGGAATTGTTACTTTTATGATATAAGTAATATATCTTCATTGTAGGAAAGTTATAAAACACAGATAACTTTATTTTTTTTGACAGGACTAGGGATTGAACCCAAGACCTCACAGATGCCAGTCAAATGTTCTACAACTGACCTATATCCCATCCCTATTTTATTTGATTGTATTTTATTTTAAGACAAGCTGGCATCAAACTTGAGATCTCCCTGACTCATCTTCTTGAGTAACTGGAATTACAGGTGTATACCACCACCCCCAATTTTAGAAATCCATGATCCTGCTGCCCAGAGATAATCACTGTAAGCATTCTGGTTAGTGCCACCCAAATTTTTTTGCTGTGCACACAGATAAATATAAATTCACAAATTGCTTTAAACAAAATAAACTAACCATCTTTAATGTTAATGACTCCCCAGTATTCCATTGTGTATCTTGAGAAGCTTCTTGAGCCTTCCATTTCTATTGCTCCTTTAACTTTTCTTGCCATGGGCATCCACATCCATGCAGAGAAGCCTGGCAGTGAAGATGTCATCACCATGAGTATGGGCACACGTAGCCAGTAGATGAATAAGGAAATGGTGAATGTTGGTTTCTCTCAGAACCGCTGAAGGGCTGGTGATGTAGCTCAGTAGTAGAGCTCTTGCCTCACATCCGCGAGGCCCTACATTCCATTCTCTGAACTACAAAATAAAGGACTTTCTTAACCTGACCGCTGTGTCTCCACATCAGATGTCTCAGAGTTTGGGGACTTCTGGTTCCATTGTGGGCTGGCATCTGGGCTGGAGGCCTTTGTACTCCTAGGCCAGTGCTGGAGAAACCTACAGAACAAGTTCTGTGAGGAGAGCTGGGGCTGGGGGCTCAGTGTGCCTGGTTGCCTGAGTCACAAGTGACATAGTGTTTCATCTAATCTGGCGCGTTTTCAAGAGGCGGGTGGATCCCTGCTGAATCTGAATCCCCGTGCACAGGCAGCTGCAGATGGTGCACAGATAGTGCACGCAGTCAGCTTTCATCGCAGTAGTAGTTATTTATGTTGAGGTGTATTAGAAAAGACATATAATTAGTAACATCCAACCTGTAATTCTACAGATGTTCTTGCTTAGAACGTGGCTAGTGTAGGTATTTAAGTAAAAACAGGAGTGAGTCAATTTAAAGAAAGATATTGAATAAATGGCAGCGTGACCAGCACCCAGTGGTAGCCCACGTCCTGCCGGCAGCGCTCAGAGGCAGCCTGAGTGCGTGAAGCAGTTTGTCTCAGGGACAGAAGGACAGCTGGCCAGCCCTAGCTCCAGCCCCTGACCTGCCTCTGTCTCCAGAAACAGATTCTCACACCTTCTCAGCCTTGTCCCCGTGAGCTGTGCCCCAGAACCCAGAGGACTTTGAAAGTAAGCAGTCCACATGCTTGCATTGAATGAGTTCCTGAAATCCAGGCACCGGTCGGATGGGAACATAGCACTCCTGACTGTGCACTTGTGGCAGGTGGCCCCGTGTCATGAGCGATGACTTGAATGTTTATTTTGGGTATGAATTTTAAAGTAGCTCTCTGTATTTATGCTTTTCTTTAGTGCCAGACTATCCTGTTGGCCTGTGAAGGGGTCTCAGTGACCTCACAACCATTGTTGCTGATCCTGTTCATTGTATTCATGAGTCTTTTTTTTTTTTTTTTCAAAACTGCTTCTGAGTAGCCAACTGTGGTGGCTCACACCTGTCATCCCAATGCTGTGGGAGCCTGAGCCAGGAAGATGGGACGCTCCAGGCCTACCCAGGCCACTTAGAGAGACTCTGTCTCAAAACTAAAATAAAAATGAAAGGATTGAAGATATAGCTCAGGTGGAAGGCCCTGAATTTATTCCCAAATACCACCTCCCACCCCCCAAAAGTGCTTTGCACTAGAATGGTATCTCTGGGTCTGTGGCATCCGCAGGTCGCCCTAAAACTTGAGGAAAGTGCAGATCAAGATTCTTTGTCCTGTGGTCATTTTCTTTCTGTTCTTTATAACTTTCACTATTAAACAAAATGAGTTCCTGTGCTAATTAACAGTAAGTGCTCTAATGGTGGTGTAATTACTAAAGAAAATTCCCGTCTGTTTTAGAGCTATCACTCAAAGAACATGGGGTGAAATAACATGTCAGGCAATTGCTTTAAAAAAGGAAGAAAGTAGGAAGAAAAAGGAGGGAAGAGAGGACAAAGACAGGGAGACAGGGATGATGGAAGGGAGACAAGACTGTTGAATCTAGGAAAGGAATATATGCAGGGTACCTTCTGTGTGTTTTGGGGAACCGTAAAACATTAAAATTAAAGTGGATGTGGTGGCCCAGGCCTATTATCCCAGCACTGTGGAAGGCTGAGACAGGAGGATCACAAGTTTGA